CTAGAAAAAATGGCTTTATAAAGGTAAAAATGCCCATAAAATGTAAAAATCTGTTTAAACTTATTGTAAAAGATTCATTTCTATCAGTATGAACGGACCACCACACAGAATATTAAGAATATTAAAAACATTAGGAGTCAGCTGTCTTCGGCAGTCCTTAAAGTACCAGCACAATAACACACTCAGCAAAATATCATCTAATTTTAATAAAATCCCAGAAAATATCGAGATATAATTTTTTGTCAATATCGCACACCCCTATGTGACTGACACTTGTTAAAATATTAAAAGAATAAGTGATCATACGACATTTGATTATACTTTAAATGATTTAAAACTTGCTGACAAATGGGTAAAACCTAGTAGTCTGAAGGATAGTGGCAAAGATTAAAAATGACAATTAATTAGTATTTTAGGGCTGAACTGTGATCCTTAAATAGAGTGTTTTAATGTCATCTAATGATTCTTGTTATAAATATTCCTGATATTTAGAATAACTATTTAGTATTTATTTATTTACTAAATATTTAGTATATAAACTACTGTTACACTGAAATACATTTTAGTGGGTGTCTTCTGTAAATCACGGTAAAAATGTATGATAGTCACTATTTTTGGCTCAGAAAACAATTAAATTAAACATGACGCATTCTAACGTACAAAAACAAATCAAGCTGTATTAAACTTTTATTGTTTTGGTGCTTGAAAAGCACTGGAAAATCACCCACTGATGGATGAACCAAGTTAGTCAAGAAAAAATATTTATATCCACCAATGTTCAAAATTTCCATTTATTTTTTATAATTACATGATAAATAAATGAAACACACCCTTCCTGCAGTGGTGGCCTGTCCAGCCAGGAGGACACGAGCAGCGTCCGGTTACAGGATGGCAGCGAGCTCCATTATCACAGGCACATCTGAGCTGACAGCCCGCACCAAAACGTCCCGCGGGACACACTGAACACAGAGAGATTGACGAAACAGCACAAACAGAAGAAATGCATCTGGTTTTGAGAAGCACAGAGATTCACTCACTGTTCTGGCACAATCTGCCGATGAATCCAGGAGTGCAGACACACGTCCCGTTACGCCGGTCACAGCGGCCTCCGTTCTCACACACCGGACACGATTCCCGACATTCAGCGCCCCAGCGACCCTCTGCACACTCTGATGCAGAAACACTGTGTGTTTGAATTCTATATCTGGACAGTATCATTAATGTGATTCTCAACATTACGCTCCGAGTCAGTTTGACCCACAACACATTTCTTAGTTGTCGGAAATACTGGTTTACCTAGGTTGTTTTTCTTGAAATTGTGTGACTATTTATCATATCGGCTCGTGAGCATACCTGCAAAGTGTCAACACTGAGGTGTTGTGGAATGTGCGTACAAAATTTCTATTACAATTGTAATGTTAGGATGTCAGTTGAACTTTTGGACAAATTTTTGGACAGTTGGACAAATTTCGTGTTTAAAGGCAGGTGCACAAATTCAAAATATATTTGTCATTTTCTTAACTACACTCTGAGGGTATTTACATTTACATTTATGCATTTGGCAGACACTTATATCTGAAGAAATTTATGTAAAATAAAAAGCAAAATATAAAAAATAAAACCTGAATTTTAAATTTAAAAATAAAATAAAATACTGTTTACAATATTCACATTCTGTGAAACACAAACATGTCTAAAAATAGTTAAAAAAAAATTTTTATAGTTAATAGTTAAATACAGTTATATATGTGAAGAAATGTATGTAAATTAAAAATTAAAAAATAATAAATACATTAATTAATTAATAAAAAATAACTTAAATTTTACATTTTAAAATAAAAAAATTAAACGCTGTTATAATATTCACATTTTGTGAAAAACAAATGTTTAAAAATAGTTAAATCGTTTATAGTTAATAGTTAAATACAGTTATATATCTGAAGAAATGTTTGTAAATTAAAAATTAATTAATTAATAAATTAATTAAAAATAAAAATAACCTACATTTTAAATAAAAAAATTAAATACAGTTTATAATATTCACATTTTGTGAAAAACAAATGTTTAAAAATAGGATTTATTGGCTTTTTTGGTAATGTTTTTTCATGCTGTGATTTTTGAATTGCATTGAATACAAGTACCCAGAATTTTAACATAACACAAGGGTTAAACAACATTATGTGAACATGCAGAATTTTCTTATAGGATTTTGTCTATGAGACACTAATACAAGTTTACAGTATTAAAATACTGTAAATTATTTTATTATAAGCTAAGGGTCTTTTTAATAGATGTGAAAACAATATAAAAAATATAGAACAATATAAGAATGACATGCTAATGTCAGCATGACAATATTACCTTTTTCACAACGTTTTCCAAACGTTCCAGCGGGACACAAGCATTGGCCAGTGATCCTGTCACATGGTGCCCCTGAGCAGTCACATGACTGAGAGCAGCCAATCCCAAATCTCCCATCAACACAATCTATCACAGTAATGGCAAAAACATTTATGGTGCTGAACGTTTGGAGCTTTAATACAAATCAAACCACATTCAATATCCACATGCAGCTGTATCGATCTGATCAGTGACTGAGGTATTTCAAATACTTCAGCTCTAATGACCTTAATGGCATATAGACATTTCATGCATCTATAATTTCACTTTATTGATCTGATCAATGACTGATGCATGTCAAACACTTTAGCTCTAATGACCTTATTGTCATATAGACTCTTTATATATCTATAATTTGACTTGATGTACCTTGGTCACACTTGTGTCCTCTCTTTCCAGCTGGACACTGCGGTTGACACGCTCCGGTCACATGATCACAGGTCACTCCAGCCGGACAGGAGCATTTATTATCACAGCCAGAGCCGAAGAAGCCTGATTCACATGCTGCAAGGAAAAAACTATTTATACTGATCATATACACTGTATCTCCATCTAAAACTTTTGTCAACTGTCCATTTTATTGAAATTATTATTTTAATTTAATTATTATATTGCATGTTTTCCTATTCTTTCCCCTGTATTTAATTAAAGCATTTCAAATGCAATTTTAAAATTAATTAAATAAAAAAATATATATATACAGAATAATATTACTTAGAATAATAATACTTTGTATAAATAATATCCATTTTAATTTTTTATTTTATTTCATGTTTTTATTCTATTTTATATTCTTATTTTATTTTTAAAGTGCATGTTTTCCAATTATTTTAATTGTAATGTATTTCATGTATTTCAAAGCTAATTTAAAATGAAAAAAGGTTAAAAGGCTATGCGTTAACAATCCATTTAATTTAATTTAATTTTAGATTGCATTGTTTCCATTTTGTCTTCAGTAAAGCAATTCAAAGCAAATTTAAAATAAAAAAGATTAAGATGATATGTGTCGACAACTATACATTTATTTTTAGATTGCAATTTTAAAATGTTATTTTAATCAAATTTTTACATTATGTTTCCAGTTCTTTTCGTTTTTCATCAAAGCATTTCAAATGCAAATTTAAAAAATAATTATTATTTAATTTAATTTAATTTTAGATTGCATGTTTTTCCATTTTCATATTTCATTAAAGCATTTCCAAGCAAATTTAAAATAAAGATTAAAGTACTGTGCAAAATTTTTAGATTGTTTTCACATTCTTTTCCTTCTTTTTCATTAAAGCATTTCAATGCAAACTTTTCAGTGCAATGCAACCTTGCATTAACAACACTTCAGCCGTCCATTATGCAAACGGACCGTCTTTGCAGGTGTCTCCCCGATAACCCGGCTTGCAAATGCAGGCGCCATGATGACGGTGACACTCTACAGTGTTCTGCTCAACACACTGACACTCTTCAGAACAGCCTGGGCCAAACGCCCACTTAGGACATGCTGCATGAACACAGAAGACAAAAAGTCATACCAGATTACAAATATCCTGTTGCAACTGGAGCCTGCTTTAATTGCTCTACAAAGCACAGTGTAGTTAAAGTGGCAAAGTACAGCACTCACGTAGGTGGCAGAACCTTCCGTACAGTCCCGGGTCACACAGACACGCCCCGTAAGTGCGATGACACCGTCCGTTATTAGCACAATTACACTTCTTATTACAGAACTTCCCATAGAGACCCTTGGGACAACCTGAAGTGATTGCATCGATATCAATAATATAAATGATTTGCATTATGTCTGTTATATCTCTCCATACAGTGAAAGGTGTCAATGTAAACGGACCGTCCTGACACAGCTCTCCACTGACCCCTGGTGGACACCGGCAGCTCCCGGTGACCGGATCACACACGCCGCCGTTCTTACACTTACAGCTCAACGAGCAATTCCTGCCGAACAAGCCCTCCGGACACGCTGGACAACACACACGCAGAAAAAAAAGAGGCCAGGAGCTTTTAAAAGACATGCAGCACAATATAAACATATCAGAAATAAACATGAAATTAACCCTATAAAGCCTACTACCTGGTGGACACCGGCAGCTCCCGGTGACCGGATCACACACGCCGCCGTTCTTACACTTACAGCTCAATGAGCAATTCCTGCCGAACAAGCCCTCCGGACACGCTGGACAACACACACGCAGAAAGAAAGAGGCCAGGAGCTTTTAAAAGACATGCAGCACAATATAAACATATCAGAAATAAACATGAAATTAACCCTATAAAGCCTACTGTCTCATATCTGATATACGAATGTCTAAGGCCTCAATGATCAGCATGATCCAAACTTTGCTGAAAACCTGTTGCACACAATCTACTACATGCTTGCTGTTGATAGTTTATGAATAGTTATAAAAACATCCTCCTTCAGCTGTGGTTCACGTGATTTTTGCTGTGAAATCTTTACTAAACATAAGAATAACTTTAGTTAGTTAGTAATATTTCCAAATCAACACTTACTGCACTAAAGCAGCTTAGCCTTACTTGATTATCCAGACATCACTTTTTTAGAAAAATCTTGTTTAAATGAGAGTATCAAATCTGATCATCTAGCTTTTGAGGAACGTTTATTTGTTCATCTCTCAATCAACACTGTGTTATGGAAACTCATTTCCGCCACTAAATAATTTTTTTTTAAAAAGGTAATTGTGACTTCTTTTCTCAGAACTGAGAGATATAAACTCGAAATTATGAGTTATAAAGTTCAATTCTGACGAAAAAAAGATTGAACTCACAATTGCTTGTTATAGTCGCAATTCTGACTTTATAAAACACCATACCTGTTAACCCTCCCGTTTTTCCCGCGATTCTCCCGTATTTTACCATTCTATCCCGCTATCATCCCATTTAAATATTTTCCCGTATTTTTAATCTTTCTATTAAAAAAATTAATAAATCCCACTGGGCGTATTTTATATGTTTGTGACATTCGCTTCCAGTAAAACTCCCGTAATTTGTATGGGCCAAACCTCATTATATTAATAATCACGACAACAAATTCCAAGGTTGTCCAGTTGCCAGATCTTGTGTGAAACGCATCTTTCTCACAAGATCGACGCATACAAATTTTAACCCATTTGTCGCCTCAACTTGACAACCTACAGCCCAGTGATGCTATTGATATCTGTGCAGGGAGTACCGTGGGAAGGAATCAATAATCACTGTTAGAAATTGAGATATAGCTTACACGTCAAAAGGCTATGGTTCAATTGATTAAATATGAGGGCTGCAAGTTTCAAAGTCAGGTGCTGCGCTGCTTTGTTTACTGCGGTTACCGAGAAACGGCTATATTCTTGGCGAAAAGCGCCACCTGCTGGCAGAGAATGAATTAGCATTTTTCAATAAGCCCTTCTGCTCAATGTTTACACCAAAGCCAAAAACGACCCTTATTTTTACGCAAAAAACACGCAGTTGTAAATGTTAACTGGTGGATCGACAAAAAGATAATGAATTATAAAACTCTAAAGATACAGCCTACACTAAGATATATTTATGTTACTAAATGAATATAATTGTTTGATAATAATTGTTTAAATTAATATAAAATAATATAATATAATAATTGTTACTTTTGACTCCGCACCCCCCCCCTCCCCCTTTTTCATATTTTGGTACACAAATGTTGACAGGTATGTAACACACAATTACAACTATACTGTATATACACAATTCTGACTTTATTACTTGCAATTCTGAGAAAAAAAGTCTGAATTGTATTATAAAACTCGCAATTACCTTTATTTTTTATTCAGTTGCGGAAACAGGCTTTCATACTGTATTGCATTACATTTTATGTTTAAAACTACGGATCTTTGATCGTAAATCAAAGCATTTAAATATCATCTTACTAAGATTAAGACTATTAAATATTATTGGGAGATATAGAGTGACAACTGATATTCATATGCATTTTATGTATGTATTCATTTACAACAATCTATCAGAATTTCATCTTACTTTTTGACCATATAAATAGCAACGTCTGCACCAAATTGCATAATTCGCTAATTTTCAGCCTCTGAATAGTATGAGAGCCATATTCGCATTACATGTATATCATACTATATAACTCATAAAAGCCTGATGTATCAAATATGATACTCAACAAAAACACATATGCAAAGATCAGATTTTGTTTAAAGGTTCAACAAATTGCTCCACTTCAAACTATTTGGCTTTTCTGACTAATATTTCATATGTCAGGCTTTACATCTTATTAAATGTCTCTGGTTTTATAGAGCATGATTTGTCATTATACCAAACAACAACAAAAATCTTTCTCCACCTCTGAAATCATTTTTTGGTTGACGCAATCAAACCAAAGTTTTCCGTTTCATATAAATGTATTGTATATTCCTGATCCGGCTGAGTACTCGTTTGTGGCTCTTTCAGAGAAACTCACTCTCATTGCACACGAGTCCCGTCCATCCATCAGGACAGTCGCAGCTGTTTCTGTGTTTGTTACACACTCCTCCATTAGCACAGTCCTCACACGACAGACTGCAGTCGAAGCCGAACGAATCATTCAAACATACTGCACAGAGCAGATGAGACAAGAGCTACTTTGCATCAGGGCTCTTACAGTTAACTAAAACCATACAACAAACCTTTTTGTTAACTGAAATAACGTCGCAGAACAGAATGACAGAATGTGTTTCTTACTGAATTTCTCAGTTAAGGTGCTCTCAGCACGCAGTTCTCCCGTGTCGTCCTCGTAGTCGTCGTATCGCTCCAGGATCTGCTCATAGTCCTGCAGAATGGTGAGCGGAGCTTGAGGTCTGTCCACCGTCTGACCACTGCTCAACGCCTCCACCGACTCCTGCAGCACTGACACACACAGTTACTTTCATTAAGCCTCACGCTTGCTTCAAATGTACTATATGGAGCACATACGTTTTTCGGTCTGGAGCACCTGAAGATTCGGTTTGGTGCTCACACTGCACATAGTGTGACCCCACTATAAAAAATAAAATAATTACCAGTAATAATAATAATAATAATAATAGTATTATTGCACTTTATTTAGTAATAATAATAAAGTGTGATAATACTATTATATTTTTAAATAAAAAAGAGTATTAAATAAAAACACAATAATTTTATAGTACACTTTAAAAATGCAATGCTAATATATGATATTTTACTTTTTACATTTTTATATGAATTTTCAACATTTTCAAACCTAAAATCAGCAAGCTTTTATTTTTGGTGGGTTGTCGGCAAGTAAGTCTAAGCACTGCCAGTTTTAGCGCTGCAGAGTGAAGCGTGTCAGTGAATGAAATGCCAGTTTTGTGTATTTGCTATGAAACCGACAGCGCATAGCCTAGATTTATGCTTTCATTTCAAATGGATTTTTATACATTATTACAATTAGTCGATCTAAAAGACTGACTGTGCATTAACAGCTGTCAAACGTGTTGGTTCGCACATGGGCACTTATGTGCACCACTCTCAATAATGTTACATTACATAAACTATACTTGAATATCTGCAATTTGAGTGAAAAATCTTCAGTTTTTGATGATCGTCCATTTAATATCTTGAGAACTCTCAACAAACAGAATCATGTGATCCATTTTAAAATACTTTTCATATGCCAAGGAATAGAGATTTGATCGTGGCCTTCTGATCAAGTCACTAGTGCAAAATGCTGTTAACATGATGAAGTGACCCTGATTAAACTAAATTTGGCTTTTACATTAAATCACTTCACCACAATGAGTCAGTTAACAATTCAGAAAGTCTTTGTTAGAAGTCTAATTTGAAATAAATCAGGAGAAAAGTAATTAAAAACAAGTAAAAATAAATGTATTAATAAAATATATTAATGATTGTTTTTGAAGCATTTCTTAAAAATCATTCTTGCGTGTAGAATATTTCCCTTATTTGATCTATTAATATAATATGATATAATATATTATAAAAATCATCTTAAAATATATTTTAAAACTAGAATGATTTTGTATATTTAAATGTATATTTTAAAATATATATTTTAAAAACAGAACAATTGTTTTTGAAGCACTTTAAAATCAGTTTAGCGAACAGAATATTTCCCTTATTTGCTGTAATAATATAATACAATTTTAAATAATATTTATAATAAATATTATTTAATATTAATTTTAACAATTGCTTTTGAAGCACTTCTTTAAAATCATTCTAGCGGACAGCATATTTCCGTTATTTGATGAATTTCTCATATACAGTAAAAGTTGGTTTTATTGCATGCATTATTTGTATTGTATGTATTAAATGTATTATTTTTTTTAAAGGAGCTCATAATTCATTTATTGTTCTGTATTAAAAATTATTATGAAAAGAAAACAGGTTCATGACAGGCTGAAGACTCACATATACATGAGTGTCTGTCTTCATCGAGACGGTCCCCGCGTCTGCAGGAGCACTGGAAGGATCCGGCGCTGTTCTGACACGTGTGATCACATCCTCCGTTTGCAGCCAAACACTCGTCTATATCTGTAAGCACATGCATTTCTGAATCTAGATTCCTAAATCACTGAAAATCACTGCAAATGCTTTTTTTCCTCTCTCTCACTTAGAGAGTCATACCGTCACAGCTGCATCCATCAGCGTTCAGTCGATATCCGGCAGTACAGTAACACTCGTAACCTCCAGGATAGTTTGTGCAGTCGTGCTCACAACACGAGCTGCTGTCTACACACTCGTTTATATCTGACAGATGAAAACACACACCTTGACGTCACACGGATACTGTGCTTGTGCCGCAAAACAAGAAATGGTCACATTCGTTTCCTTTACCGATGCAGGTCTTGTGGTCGTCGTCCAGCTGGTATCCTTGGTTACAGCTGCACACGGGTCCATTGGTTGAATGTTCGCAGTGATGAGAACAACCGCCGTTATTATGATCACAGCTGTTTACAATCTCCATCTCGATACCTGAGAGTGGAAAACAACACATTGAAAAGGAATGGAAATTAATTTCATCTATTGGAAACGCTTGGTACTGCGCCCAAATATCCACCAGACATCAATCTCAAATCTGGAACGCAACTTTAGATTTATGTCCTTGATTTTCTTGCAGTTTTGAAAAATGTAAATTGAATATAATTTTTTTTAAATAGTATTTATGTGCATATTTCATAATAATAAACTTTTACTTCTTCAACTTTTTTCAATTTGACTTTTTTTCACTTCGGCAATAATCTGCCATGTTTCTTCTTCAAAAAAAGATACCAAACTTACTCCTGTGCTCCAATTCATTCAAGATTTACAACAGTTTAAGATGGAAATTTCAATTTCAGGTCTATACTCAAAGAGTGGTTAACAGTTAATAAATGGATCATTGCATAAATATAATATAGTACCATAAAATCCACTAAAAAACAAAATGTTAAACAAAAAAATCTTTATCGAACTTTGTGTGTGTGTGTGTGTGTGTGTATGTATATATAGATAGATAATATTATTTTTATAATAGTTTGAAATGTAATAATTTGATATAATTTAATATTGCTAAAAATGTGTTATTCTTTCTATTCTATGTGCATTTTATTTTTTCTATTTTCTATATTCATCTGTATGTGTGTATACGTATATAGAGTTAAAAAAGCATTTAATAACCACAGGACATTTTCATATATATATATATTTCACACCCATTCTATTCTATTTTATTGTGTTCCATTCTATATTATTCTATTCAATGTGTAATAAATTACACCTTGCACAATTCTATCCACATATTTATTCATATACTGATGTATTTTATACTATTCTATTCATTAGTGTATACATACACACACACAAACACAAATTATATTTGCATAATATATGCACATGATTTATTTGTTTACACTCTGAAAGAAAGTAACAAATGATTTAATGGGCTTCTTCTTGTTTTTGCTACATATGTGAGACATGTTGCATGGAATCTGATGGGGTCGGTCCAGACTCAGATCATACTCACGATAACACTGCTTGCCATTAACACCCAACTCATAGGCGGCGGGACACACACACATGAAAGATCCCAAAGTGTTACGACAACCGTGAGCGCAGTCCGCCTGGCCCGTCTGACACTCATCAATGTCTGACACAAAGAAAACACACACATACACACACACACACAAACACTTACACTACACTTTAAAGTGAGCTTTCCTTAGGATGTGCCATTTCTGTGTCTGTAGCTTTAAATGCTAATGAGGAGGAGAGAGGCGGGGCAACTGCCATGCTTCGCTCGTTTGCAAGCCATGATGTCTCTTGAGGAAAAAAAAATATTGCGCTCGCCTCGCATGGTAGTAGCTCATTTTCTCATGGGCGGGCCAAATTCTCTGGGCGGGCAAAGCAGAGAAAGGGGAGGTAACCTTTCCCCGTATGACGACATAAAGGGAAGATTCCAGATTGGGCCATCTGAGCTTTCATTTTCTCAAAGGCGAAGCAGAATACCCAGGGCTCGGTTTACACCTATCGCCATTTCTAGCCACTGGGGGACCGTAGGCAGGCTAGGGGAACTCATATTAATGTTAAAAAACCTCATAATGTGACATTTTCATGCCATGGGACCTTTAAAATCGTAATACAATGTTTCCCACACATACCTTTTTAATGATGATTTGCCTTTTATTTGTCATGAAAAATAATGGAATGTAAAGAAGAAACACTGGTCATAAAAATAGATGTAATTTTATTATCATCACTATTATTATTATTATTAGGGGTGAAATGTGACCTGGACATGTTTTTGTGAGATTTATCATCTTGTTACACTCATTTCCCATCCTCCTCATCCAGCTGCTCCTCTCACATACTCAGTGTGTTCAACTTGTTTCTGTCCGTCCAACAGCTGCAGTGAAACGATCTGTCTGCAGCCAACAATTACACTTTTACAGAAACAGAATGGCAGAAATTATTCTGCAATCATGATCCTTCATCAGAGCGAGACACGTCTGTGTTCAACTCCAGATGACCTCAGAGACCAGACACAAAGACATGTCCCTGCTTAAGTCACCAGTTTGTGATATTGTGTCATCAAGTGAATCAAAGGGCAAATTCATCACAAAGACCAAAATCATATTTCCACTAAATCTCCTTGAGCAGTTCTTGTGATTCTTTGGGAACTTCAAAGGATGAAAGTATTTGGCTTGAAATACATAAGACATTAAGAAATTAAAAATAATGTTTTATATTACTTGTACAGTTAAAATGCTCTGTCATTAGGACACTTATCAGCATATTCAATCATCTGAGAATTGAAATTTGCATGCATTATGTGTCAATGATGTTTAATAAACGCTTCAACCTTACAAAAAACAGCTCCACTATGACCTGTTAATCAGAGCAAATACATTCATATCTGTGTGTGGAGATCATTACAGTCAAGCTTTATCTTTATTCATTGCTAATGAATGCAATTGAAACTATTAAAACAAACAAAAACATCATTTATTTTCCTTCATATTTATATAAACCTGTTCGACTTTATGCTGAATGTCAAAAGGACAAAAAAGCAGCACAGATGCTTCATAAAAGTACTACATATGATTTCAAGTCAAGTTCATATAATAAAGTTGCTTAACTACTGTTTATATAAATATATATATATATATAACATATATATGACAAAAATGTGTGTGTGTGTGTGTATATATATAATAAATATATATCAAATTGACTATTTATTAATTAATACATTTATTATTATTATTATTATTATTATTATTATTATGGGGTGTAATGTGACCTGGGCATGTTTTTGTGAGATTATTTATCATATGTGCACACTGTTAAACAAACTTTATGGTGTTTTGTCCATTTAGGAGCTTTAAAGCCCTTATGTTTGTTCCACAGAAAAAAATAAAAGCATGTTTTGAACATCACAAATAAATGCTTTTTAAAGGAATACACATTCTATTCTATAAAGAACATTTATTTGCTGGTATTAACTGGAAGAGGCTCCATACTAACAAAATAGATAAACTACACATGTCTCATTTGCTCGTAACACATTCAGTCTGTCTCCAAAATGCTTTGCATTTTAGTTTCGCTTAAATCCCACTCTCAACAAGTGCTGTAAAACTGTGATGGTAAATATGTCGTCAAGCTCATGCTACCATCAGACATCTGTAATGCTCATGGGAAAGTCCTGCAGTTGAACATCAGTGTGGTCAGACTCACATTTGCAGTGTTTCCCGTCCGCGTCGAGTCTGTAATCGGGTCGGCAGCGGCACTGGAAATGACCCGCCGTCTGCTGGACGCAGAAATGCTCACAGCCGCCGTTCCCAACGCTGCAGGAGTGGATGGCTAAACACAAGCAGACAGACAGACAGACTGGTGGAGAAGCTTTGAGAAGACAACACTAAGCTGTTATTGTTCAATTTAAAGATCAAACCAGTAATAATAAAGGAAAGACTCTTCGTTAAGTGTTTGAGTCTAGCAGTTCCCGAGTTCAAATGACTCCTGCTGCAGGAACATCATTGACTCAACCAACCAAAACATGAACGAAGGAACGCATTGAAAATCACTTCAAACTTCTCAATTATAAATCAATCTCTATAAGCACACACACAGCAGACAGATTCATGCCAGAAACGCAATTTATTCTGTAATCGTACTCTCCGCTTCCTTCTTCTGCCCTTTGTGTGTCTGATTAACTGTCCGTCATTCTATCTTTCTCTCACTTTTTACCTTAAGAGGAGGATTACACTGTACAATACATTACGTCAGTTAAATCAAAATGATTTTCAGATGGTAACATATAAATGAACCTGTTTTATTAAAGTCAATTATATTATGGATAGATAGATAAAACAATGGATGGATGGATGGATGGATGGATGGATGGATAGAATGACAGAATAATGATAAAACAATGGGTGGATGATGGATGGATCGATGGAAAAAACAGTAGAATGATGGATGGATGGATAGATAGAACAACATAATGATGGATGATGGATGGATGAATGGAATGATAGAATGATGATGGATGGGCAAATGATGGATATAACAATAGAATTATGGATGGATGGATGGTGTGATAGAATGATAGAATGATGATAAAACAATGGATGGATTAATAAGGAATGGATGATAGATGGATGGATAGAATGCTAGAATGATGATGGATGGACAAATGATGGATACAATGATAGGATGATGATGGAATGACAGAATGATAGAATGATTATAGAACAATGGATGGATGATGGATGGATGATAGATGGGTGGAAAGAATGGTAAAATGATAGATGGATGGATGGATGGATGGATATGCAAATGATGGATAGAATGATAGATGATGGATGGATGGAATGATGATAAAACAATGGATGGATGATGTGTGGATGATAGATGGATGGACAGAATGGTAGAATGATTGATGGATGGGCAAATGATGGATAGAATGATAGATGGATGGATGGATGGAATGATGATAAAACAATGGATGGATGATGTGTGGATGATAGATGGATGGACAGAACGGTAGAATGATTGATGGATGGGCAAATGATGGATAGAACGATAGAATAATGGAATGATAGAATGATGATAGAACAATGGATGGATGATGGGTGGAGGATAGATGATGAATAGAATGGCAGAACAATGGATGGATGGATGGATGGATATGCAAATGATAGATAGATTGATAGATTGATGGATGGATGGATTGATGGAATGATGATAAAACAATGGATGGACGATGGGTGGGTGATAGATGGATGGACAGAATGGTAGAATGATGGATGGATGGGCAAATGATAGATAGAACAATAGAATGATGAATGGATGGATGCATGGAATGATAGAATGATGATGAAACAATGAAAGGATGATGGGTGGATGGTAGATGGATGGACAGAATGATAGAATGATGGATGGATGGATGGGCAAATGATAGATAGAACGATAGAATGATGAATGGATGGATGGATTGTTAGAATGATAGAATGATGATGAAACAATGAATGGATGATGGGTGGATGATAGATGGATGGACAGAACGGTAGAATGATGGATGGATGATGGGTGGATAAAATGATAGATATATTTTGCTCTTATAAATATAGGTTAGAAAGGGGAAATTTCTTGTTTATGTCTGAATCAAACTCAATCCAAACCTTTGCTGAAACACAGTAATTCAGTCTTAATGGTCCTAAAAACAGGCTTAATTTCCTTTGAGCTCGTGATGTGTAGATTCTGTGTTCAATTGTTCAATTAAAGTTTTATTAAAATGTTAAATAATAGTATCTGTGTATTTTTTTTTTGTAACGAAAAAAACTGCATAAAAATAAGGCTTTTATGAAAACAATGAATAAAAAATTGCTTACCAACACACAAACCATTCACAATTGCTAAATTGGGCTAAAATAAATGGCTCAGAGTGATACTAAATAAAGAGCCAGTTGGGAGCCTTAAGAGCCGGCTCTTCTAAGGGAGCCGAGCCAAAAGAGACGAATCTTTGAAAAGAGCCGAACTTCCCATCACTACTTTGAGACAGATATACCCATTTTATGTCCTGTGATCTTGGGGTGTAACATGAGCCTGGGCAGGTTTGGTTAGGTTTGGTTTGGCTGCGTGTGTGTTTTACCGATGCATGTGCGCCTGTCCACGTGCAGTCGAGATCCAGCGTTACACTGGCAGTGATACGAACCCCTGGTGTTCACACACTTGTGCTGGCAGCCACCGTTATGCACCTGGCATTCGTCAATATCTGCGGAAGAACATATTAATACACAATTTAATACTGTGTTATGAAACATTCATCAGATTCAGGAAAGGCCTGGTATTAGTACATCTTTAATTCACCTCTAATTTCTGCACACTAAATCAGTTGGTCCAAATTCAAAGCAGTATTTGCTGGCCTGGGAAAAACGTCGGACATCAGGAGTAAATAAATAACAAACTCCTTATGTACAAACTCAAGCAGTGAGATTACAAACAAACAAAGTGAAGTGGTCATTTGTTTCACATCACGATAAAGAACAAATCACAAAAAAAGAGAAAACAAGTACATTCATGGTTCATTGAAATGTTGTAGGTTCTCAAACAGTTTTGTGGTTTTGAAGCAACATTGCCCACTGAGATCAGAGCTAATAGAGTCACGGCCTGTTGAGAAAGACACTGTTACTGCTCTGAGATCAGCTTTCAGACAGACATGCTTCATTGGCACAGCTGCTATCCCCAAACTAAAATGTCTTTCCCACGTCGCTTGACTTCATAAGTGTAAACTCACGGAAAACGCAAGGGAAACTAGAAAAGTATCAGATGGTCATTTTATATATATATATATATATATAACCACAAAACCAGTCATAAGGGTACATTTTTCGAAACTGAGATTTATACATCATCTGAAATCTGAATAAATGAGCTTTCCATTGATACAAAAGATACAATATTTGAAAATCTGGAATCTGAGGGTGCAAAAAATCTAAATATTGAGAAAATCATCTTTAAAGTTGTCCAAATGAAGTTCTTAGCTATGCATATTATTAATCAAAAATTAAGTTTTTATAAATTTACGGTAGGAAATGTACAAAATATATTCAAGGAACATGATCTTTACTTAATATCCTAATGATTTTTGGCATAAAAGAAAAATCGATAATTTTGACCCATACAATGTATTTTTGGCTATTGCTACAAATATACCCCAGCGACTTCAGACTGCTTTTGTGCTCCATGGTCACATATGCACTGTGGTTTTGTGTTTAAATAATTTCTGTGTGTTTTATTTGTCTTTTAATTGCCTCTGTTTGAGTGTCCGTGAGTTCATGCGCTGAGATGAGGAAAGGCTCCCTCTATAACATGCATTTGAAAAAGCAACACACGCCAAACATATGCCCTTTAAAAATTACATTTGGAAGTAGAAAGAATAAAATAGTACTTTCTCGTAAAACATGCTCCATTAATCTTTATTTTCTTTACAACTTTAAAAATAGTTTTTTTTTACAGTGCTGTTGGACTTGGTATAAATGTATCTGTTCACATCATTGCCACCTATATGTAAATATACTATTATTTGATTATAAATATCTTTCAAGTAAACAAATATTTATAATTTCTCAAGATGCAAGCAACATTTACTTTAATATGCATCTTGAGAAATTACAGTTTCAAAGAAGCTTCCCAAGTCACAGCTCAGAAATAAATGTTTCTGCCACATTTTTGCTGCTTGATTCAGAGTAAACTAACACGAAACGCACAGGCAGTCGACTCTTGTTGATTTGACAGCTCCTGCCGGTGTCCTCTCCTGCTAAGAGGGAAAAAATCCTAAAAATCACTCAGTTACGACTGTCTAGATCCATACGATCCCACAGCAGGTCTCTTTAGCCTTATGCTGCTTTCTCTCCAAACAAAACCTGCAAGACGCCGCCAACGCAAGCGCCACTGACTCCAAAACAAACACACGAGCTTTGTGTTCAAGCGACCTTTGACCTATAATATACTAACGACCAGCTTTGTGTTTCTGTCACCTCATGACATCACCGCAGGAGATGTTTTCATTGGCCGGTTTTACATTGATAGCTGTAATTCTGTAATAGGAGCCAAATGGAATATACAATTTTCCTTTACAAAGATTCATGTGCGAGTTTGATCAAATCATGCTCGGACAAAACATCTTTAGTTGAAGTTTGACTAAAGAAGTTATTTAAATCTGGTAACAATCTTTTTATATACTTCACCAGCTGAGCTCAATTTTGAGTCTATGAAAGTATCCATGGCACTAAAGGATAGCTGGCATTAAACAGTACATAAAGTCGACCGGTAATGGGAACCAGCTGAGTGTTTACCTATCGTGGAATCTTAATTACTGACTGAGATGCCAGGAGGCCTCAATAATCACAGGCATCCTGCAAAGTAAGGCTGTGCAATATATCGAAATTATCGCTATGGCTTGCAATATTTGGGCCATGAACAAAAGCGCTGACTTTCCATCTACACTGCTGTTTGGTTGGGGTTTTAATTAAATTACAAATTTACGTTTCCCCTCATCGGTGGAGAATTTGGTTTGGCTTCTATTGAACACTCTGGAACGCTAAACAGTGTTTATAGATGTAGCTCGAGGCGAGCGGCACGCTGAGTCAGCGGAGGAAGTTCCTGACTGTGTTCTGCACTGCCTCGAAAACACTGATGACAGACGACCTTATACTGTTAACAAGATGTTTTAGACATTCTAATCATGGAAACCATATCTGATGCTTGCTAATCATTTTACTAATTGAAAGATCAAAACATCTTACAGACTTGGAGGTGGGTTGGAGCAAGAACCCCCCACATTTTCTTCTGAATTTATATATATTTAAAAAAAATGTTTTATTAATTTAATTTGTATTTGAATTTCATAAGAAACAAAGGTAATAAGCATACAGTGTTGGGTGTAATGCATTATTAAGTAACTAATTACTAGTAACTAATTACTGTAATTTAATTACTTTTCCCTTGAAAAGTAAGGGATTACTCTTAATTTTTTCTGTAATATAATTACAGTTACTTCTGATGTAACTCCATTAAATATAAAACAATTCTATATAAAGCAATAGTGGATTTAACATCAAATGTTAATATCTAATGTTTAAAAGTATGTTTTTATTGAAACCTTCTCAAATACTTTGGTCAGTTCAAGAAAAATGTATGCAATTTTATATTATTTATTTGAAAGAATTAAAAGAGCAGTTTCATGTCTATCCTTGTCTTGTTCAACTGGTCGAGGTTAATATGGAACATTGACAGTAATTAGGGTAACACTTTACAATAAGGTTCATTAGTTAAACATTAGTTAATGTATAAACTAACATGAACTAACCATGAGCAATACATTTGTTACTGTATTTACTAATCTTCACTAATGTTAGTTAATAAAAATACAGATGTTCATTGTTAGTTCATGTTAGTTCACAGTGCATTAACTAATGTTAACAAGATTTTAATAATGTATTAGTTGAAATTGTTGAAATTAACATGAACAAAGATTAATAAACGCTGTATAAGTGCAGTTCATTATTAGTTCATGTTAACTAATGTAGTTAACTAATGAACCTTATTGTAAAGTGTTACCGTAATTATGTAATGCAGTACTTTTTAGAGAGCGTAATCAGTACAGTAATCTAATTACACTGTTGAAAATGTAATTAGTAGCTAGTAATTGATTAAGAGATTTTTAGAGTAACTTACCCAACACTGTTATATATATTTCGTTTTGGATAACTAAAAAGAAAAGAACTAAAAACTGTTTTCATTAATTGAAATAAAACTGAAATCAAATGTAATTATTAGAAAATAAATGAAGATATAATTATTAGAAAATGTAATATAATATAAAACAATATAATATATAATATAATAATTAATTATTATAATTATACATTTTAATATACATTTAGTTTACGTTTAAGCTGAAGTACTAAAAATATTACAAATAAAGAAATAAAATAAAGGTTAAATATATATAAAAATGACTAATAAAAATAACAAAAGCACATAAAAATTACTAACACATACACTCTAAAAAATGCTGGGTTGTTTCAACCCAACTTTGGGTCAAATATGGACTAACCCAACTTTTGGTTTAAAAATGTAATGTAAAAATGTAACCCAACACAGCATTTTTTAGAGTGTAAAATAGAATTAAGATGCAAACTGAAAATATAAAATGTGCAGCTAAGCCAAAATATTTAATACTATTATATATAAGAAATGTATAAATTAATAGATTTAAATATTACAATTATTTCTAGACTAATATATGGAACAACTATTCCATTATATTTCTTAACAATATAGAAACTATTACAAGACGCTAACGCAGAACAGCTCAGGTGGAAGTCCTCAGTTTAAATGGACCAATACATGTTCTCACCTGGTCTCTGGTATCCCATAGTGAATCGGTGGTATCCATGGAAACAGTGTAGCCTATGGCAGTGTCCCAAATGATGCCAATAGCCAGAATAATAGGCCAGATCAACTGCATGAAAATTAAGTCCAATACACACGAGACAAAACATGAACCAGCCTGTCATGATTTACCAGATACTGAATCATAAATATCTGACGTGTCTATGATTGTAAAAGCAGCAAATGTCAAATGAAAGTTCAAGCAGTCTGAGAGAGACGGACTGAAACAGCAGGTTTTATTCCCTCCCTGCCCTGACTCACTCTCTCCTCCTTTCATGTCTGCATCTCATGTACTTCACAACACTTATGCATGAATGCAATCAAAATGCAAATTTTGAGTGGAATTAATTCTGCTGTTCTAATTTTGTCTACCATGAAGTCATATAAAAGGATTATTATGTATGGCTCTCTAGACTACTTGATTCTGATTAGATAACTGCTGTATTCAGTTGTCCAATATTTTTCTGATAATTCTGTTCCTTTACATAATTAAAATTGGTCAATTATCTTATGATTTTATCACAAAATATGACAATTTGTTGCCATATATACCTGTGCATGAAACCAAACCACCACAGTATATTCTGGCATTCAAATACATATAAAATATGTGAAGCAGGATTTGGTTTAATATGAAAGAGTTACAAGATCTAAACCATCTGTAGGATAAATACAAATATCTGAAACATCAGAAAGATGAATAAATCTCGCAGAGGCATGTCTCAGATGCATCTATCTATCTATCTATCTATCTATCTATCTATCTATCTATCTATCTATCTATCTATCTATCTATCTATCTATCTATCTATCTATGTCACAAGTTAAGGGCATAACATCTGTTCTCATGCACTAATGACAGTAACAGTGATAACTGACATCTAATTTGTTCAGTTCAGTTGTTCCTCTACATATACTATCTGTTAAAATGCTGAATAAGAATACTTAAGCAAATGCAATCAGCAACTGGTGTTATTTTGTGCAGTTGTCCTGAACATGAGAAAAGATCGATCATGCCGCAGCATCTCTGCTGAAAACCAGACAATCCACAGTTTAAAAAATTTGCTGGCAAATCTGACATCTCAGGCTTCCAGAAAAAGATTCCAGTTTCTTTGATTGCCTTCTAAGACATCTCCTGGAAACCAAATTCTGGTTGATAAATGAAGGTTTGCAATGCTACCAGTTGTTGAGGATGTCTGTATTTTGCAAATCTGTCTCTGCAAACGTTTTGCTAAATAGGTTGATTATTATGCGTCTAGATTCTGTTCTAGATTTCCAAGTGACATTCTGTTCTGCTTCTCCAAGTAGGAAGCTGTAAATTCTGACTTTCCTAGCTGAATGGAACAAACAGGAAATAGAACCCACATGCAATGAGTTTGACTGGCATTTTGGTGAGAGCGCCATCTTTGCTGATAGTATCTGTCTGATGAAAAAGCACGAATTCCAGAGAAACAGAGAGAGACAGAGAACAGATGGGACTCACCCTGGCAGGTCTTGCCGTCCTCTCTGAGTTTCTGACCTGCGGGACACTTGCAGTAGAAGCTGCCGATGGTGTTACAGCACAGAGCTTCACACCCTCCATTGGTCTCTTCACACTCGTTTACATCTGACAGCGAGAGAGAACAAACACATTACAGTCTGAACTACAGATGCAACAGTTTGGACAATCATTTCCAAATGTTTACAATTTGGAGACACGTGAACATATTCAAACAGACCCATTATGAAACTTCACCCCTATATGCATGAGGGTGCATTATGAACAACAGACAGGATTGTTTGCTAAACTAAACGTCACTGTTACTATTGCTAAAATTATATATTTATATACGTTTTAAAATAAAATAACAAATAACATTTCAGGTTTATTATTAATGTTTTTTTGTATGTACTCCAAAAAGACTCACAAACTCGCTGCATAGGTCATCTGAGGTTTCAACAAGTGCTTATTGGTGGAAATTCATTGCCATACTAAAACGTATTATACTTTTTCCATCTTTCCATCTTAAAAATGTCCCAACATAGTCATTATAAAAAAAGGTTGTGCCCATGACAGTCTGCTGCCAATGAATAAATCATATGTGTACTGAAAGACACATTTAGCTGTTCTTCACTTTAACAGGATTTGACAATAATGTTTTTTTGATTATTTAGTTGAAGCTACTGAAATCTGGACCGCCAGTTGAGTTTCATGGGAAAGTGCTCAAATGAAAACTGTCACCTTGGACGTTTGTCAGTTTCCATATCTTTTTAATCTATGAGCACATTGTTGCTTGTACGGTCCGAGGGTTTGGTGCATTCTGGGTATGAGAAAGTACAAGCACACATGTGTATATTACCTGTAGAAATAGTAAAAGCATTATGCTTTTCCAATTATATTCAAAGATTCTCCTTAAAGGCATAGTTCACCGAAAAATTCACTCAGGTCATCCAAATTGTAGGTGACATTTTTTCTTCGGTAGGACAGTAAAGACGATTTTTAGCTGAAACCGTGGTCCTCGGTGATTCATAAAATGCAAGTCAGCGGCTTTCTGTTTTTGAGAATAAAAAAAAGCATATCAAGGAGCACAAAATTAATACCTGTGGCTCCTGACGATATATTGAAGTCTTAGGAAGAGAATCGATCGGTCTGTGCAAGAAACTGAATATTATTTACAACATTATTACCTGCAATCTGCATGATACTCAATCAAAACTCACTTTCGGTGACAGTCACTCCCACTCAAAATGAGCCAAAATACCAGCGTATCAGATCCTATGATGAACTCATTCAGCGCTCCAGTTCCTCCAACAGTCACTGAACTGAGAAAACAGTTCGACCAAAGACCGATAATCTCGTGATCTGCACATGCATGAACCGAGCACTTTAATGAAGTTTTTATGGTCTCTCACTGTTTATGTAAAAAGGTGAGCTGATGAAGACAAGTTTATTCACTTTATATGCTTTAGACATGTAAAACATCCATGTTTCACATCATTATTGGGTGCATAAATAATGTAATTGCGTATACATTATGTTATTGTGTGATTACGTAAATGAACTAGTGAATTGAACCAGTTCACAGAAACGAACTGCCCGAAAGAACCAGTTCGCGAAAAAGAATCGAATTTCCCCGTTTGCCAGAGTCTCTGGATTACATGCTGTAAATAATGTTCAGTTTCTTGCACAGACCGATCGTTTCGCTTCATAAGACCTCAATATATCATCAGGAGCCACAAGTATTAATTTTCTGCCTGTTTTTTTATTCTCAAAAACAGGCAGCTGCTGACTTGCATTTTAAGAATCACAAACCACGTTTTCAGCTAAAAATCTTCTTTATTGTTCTACTGAAGAAAAAAATCATCTACATTTTGGATGGCCTGAGGGTGAGTAAATTAAGAACAAATTTTCATTTCTGGGTGAACTATCCCTTAAAGACCATTTCAAGGAAGTCCACAACCTCACTCGTTACAAAAAGGAGCAGTAAGTGTTTTCTTCCCATGTCCAACAAAACCACTTCTTTTTTTCCAGTGGACACAAATCACCTAAATGGGTTGGAGAGGGACGTTTGGCATTTGATTGGCTTCAAACCACTTTAAGTTAATCAGAAAAAAATGAAATAGCTGGAAAATCGTGTCCTTCAACAGGCCAACCAACCTCACAGCGAGAGGCTTCGCCATTCATTCAGGTTTTAATGCAGATGTTTAACCAACCTCCCCATTACACCCCATATATCCAGCTCTCACACTCAAACACATGGAGATGTTTATGAGAAAATCGTTTTGTCGGTTTCCCAAAACATTATTTCAATAAAATCCTCGCCACAACAAATTGGCCCCTGAAGAGCCGAGCGATGTGTGCTGGAGGAGGAAATAAACATAATGAATCAGTGAGTGGAGCTGCGGCCGGAGGAGATCACACCATTACACATGTCATATCTCTAGCATTTCATTTTCAAAACTCATTAGTCAAATAGTCAAATTCATTAATTATTCATTAATTTTAATGTAAAATTTAGTATTGAACATTAAATAATAAATACAGCAGAAGTTTAGTTCATGTTCATGTTAATTATTGCATGAACTAATGGCTAATGTCTACAACCATATTATAGAGTGTTACCGACATTTAATCATCACTAAATAGATTAAAAGTACCAAAGAAGGATATTTGGTGAAGGATGTCAACAAAGAATATGAGATGGATACAATTTATCCAATAAAATGTTGGAAAATGGGTGATGCTTCCTTCACTCCTGCAAATTAGATGACACTGTCAATATGTTAAAACAATCTATGTCTTCCATTATATTCAGCCACAATGAAAATAAAATGATCGACAGGTGAGTAATGCATAATGTCAGCCTGCACATACAATCATCTACATCCAGACTGAAACATCAACAAGGAAATGGAGACAAACCACATTCTTTCAGTAAGAGGTCATGACCCCTTTCATGACCCGAGGCCGACCTGCTGGTCAAGGACTTGAAAGAGACACCCTGCGGGAATGGCAGCGTTTTCTTCCGTCAGGGGTCCTGCTTTAGGCCACACATCTGCACGGAGACGGAGACATGGGGTTTGGAGGAGGGTGTACAAACATAGCTCATTTAATAACCGACACAGAATTCATCTCACTATCATCACCTCATAATCATTTGATCAACCAACGGGTATTGGGTAAAATGGCAGTAGGTGGAGTCACACAGACCAAAACAAAAACACACATTCCGACATGGAATGCACATTTAAAAGAAAAACAACTGGCTGTAGCATTGTTTTTTGATTAAACAAGTATTTGAACTTAACATGTTTCCTAAATATCTGCAAACATATGGTATTTTTATGCTTTACTAAAGTCAAAACATCTGATCTTACCTTTTAACATTCTTATACAATTGGGCTCAGATGAGAAGACATCTCATCGGGGCCAATAACCTCATCTGTAATGGCTATTTTGACTGTGAAGGATTTTTTTTCTTCCCTTTTACGAAGGACTATTGCTGCCCTAATGGAAATGTAAGTATTGTCCAAACCTACACTGGGAATGAAATATAGATCTTAGATATATACAGAGTTCTGGCATGAAACTCTAGATGGCGCAGTCCGATAGGTCTAACTCAATCTGACCTATGACATCATTATCACATGGCACAGCTGATTGGTTCTCTCCTGTATAAGTAGCCAATGAGCTCGCTGCTCAACATTCAAATATATGACTAGTGCTTGCCGTAGCAGTTGCAGCTTGTTTCAGAAACCCTCCACCTTCCCCAGCTCCACCTGTATAGATCTGCTACGAGGTGATTCATGTATGCTATATGGGGGTTATTTCATGTATGTTATATTTGAAGCAGTAGTATTTCTTACATGCTCACAGCAGCATGTTGTGGATGTATTGGCAGTAGCAAGTCTCGGTACTTGCTCTGACGCAGCAGCAGTATAGCAGATCTATTCCGCCAAGACCAAATACATTAACATTGTCATGTACATTACCATGCCAAACCCTAAGAGAGTTGTCATGACAGAACTATATTTCGCCTGTCTATAGAAATAGACTGGACCTTTTGGGCCTTTAATTGAATTCCTCTGATATGCAGTGGGGCAAAAAAGTATTTAGTCAGCCACCAATTGTGCAAGTTCTCCCACTTAAAAAGATGAGAGAGGCCTGTAATTTTCATCATAGGTATACCTCAACTATGAGAGACAAAATGAGAAAAAAAAATTCAGAAAATCACATTGTAGGATTTTTAAAGAATTAATTGGTAAATTCCTCGGTAAAATAAGTATTTCGTCACCTACACACAAGCAAGATTTCTGGCTCTCCCAGACCTGTAACTTCTTCTTTAAGAGGCTCCTCTGTCCTCCACTCGTTACCTGT